GGAATGTTTATAATTACTATCATTTTGTACTATGATACTATCAAAACATTTATATCGTTTTGTGTTGTTAATCGGACCAAAATGTGTGATATTATTTGTGTATCCTTAAATGATTTAGCTAAAGCAAGGACAGTGGTGTGTCGTGGGGGCACGCGCGAGAGAGTGCGTCCCAAAAATTATTACACAATATTACAAAAATAGTTTGGAAGTTGTGGTCTACTTTTACAACTATGTCGTTTCTATTGTGTAATAGTTGGAATGAAGTTCCTATATCTCGTCATCTCCCTATGATCAAACAAACAAGAGTGAAAGGCCACATGCATTTGGGGTTGACACACATGTATGATGTGATGCGTGTGTGTGTGTAGACAACGATTTTCAAACGTCTTGCCATGGATATATAATTGATCTTGTTTAGGGTAAAAGTTTTAGTATTCGCATGGTCCAAATAAGAAGTGTTCTTAGTGCGAAAGGATAAAAAAAAGGGAACAAATAATGCAAAACAAGCAAAACAAAAGGTTAATTAATAGTGACGACTAAAAATACGGTGTGATTACTGTTTACTGAGTGATTAAAATAATTTTTACTTTAGAATAAATCGTATTATCTTTTTTTCAAAAATTTTAGCATTTTTAAATAAAAATGTCTCCCGTTTTGGCTTAGTGCTGACCTTTTTTTTTTCATTCACACAAAGTCACAAACATTTCTCCGTAAACTTATATACAAAACAAAAAAGGATAAAAACAACTTCAAAATAGAGAAACAGGAAGAAGAAAATAATGGGATCCTACGAGCCAACACAGACGCCATGTGGTGTGGGGGAGATATATTTCAGAAGTTGTGTTTTATGGAGACATCTCCACAAATATACTTCAAATATTGTTTTAAAAATATTTAGATATAAGAAAAGATGATATGTGAATTGTCAATTTCATGTCCTCCCATGTATTTAAACCCACGCGCATACAATGTCACACTGATACTTTATATAAAGAATATCACCTCTAACCCCTAAACTTTTGATCATAACTAAATCGGTTTTCTATAAATATTATGAACAACATATATCTTAGTCAACTCCAACAATTATAGTGCAAGTTATCGAACATGGCTTATCTTCTTTTATATGTAGATGACATCTTTCCCACATCATCCACAACATAAATTCTGCAATATATCATATCTGATCTGATCTTCGAATTCGTTTGATAAATCAATCTCCTTCACAACATTCTTTTACAATGAAGCCTAACTATATTTTTTATCTTTTTTTTGTTATAGAACCATTTCTGTAGGTTTATAATGTTTCGACTTTTAAACCTAAACGTTTTCATTTTCAATGAAATATTTATATTTTTAGAAAAAAAATAGTTTGCCGTCAAACAACTAGGGTTTAGTATAGGTTTAATTTTTAGTTTATGTTTTCAGGTTAGGATGTAAGAAAACATAATTAGTTTAATTATTAACAAATTTGTGAAACTGTTAATTCTTAAATAAAATGATTTCAATCTGTAACACTTTTAATTTAAAAATGTAAACGTCAAATTGAGATAACCCACATTTTTGTTGGAGTGCTTACACTACAAACGACATAAATTTTCTAAAAGAGACCAAATATGTTTACCATTCTACCAGGAAAAAAACAACAAAAAAGGCACTCATCATTCACCTCCGTAAAAATAGTTAGTGTCAATTAATGTGAGTAGAGTGAGAGTGATGACATAAATTCGATGGTTGTACCATCATCGTTGACCATTAATAGGTTTCAAACAAAGAGGCACACATTCGTCGATTCTTTTCTCATTTACATTAATTGTTTCTATACACAAAGAAAAAAACAAAAAAAATGGTGAGAGTCACGCGCAGCAATTTCACTTCCAAAAAAACAAAACCTAGTTTCATCTCCGCTGTCTTCCTGCTCGCCTCTCCGGGGGCCGGTTACAACCGGTGTCATGAGAGGGCTCTTGCTTTTCTCCTTTTGTTATTATAGTTTTCGGTTCCGTCTTTACCAAATCCTCTAGACCTTACATGTTTTTTCGCAGCGAGTGGGAAGAAGATGAGCAAATCGTGACGGCCACGCATGGGTTCTAGGGTCTCTCTGTTGTAGGTCGTTTGTTGGTCGATCTTGTAGAATCAACGGCTGGGAGTAGCTACAACCCTAACCTCGCCTCACGATATCGATCGGCTCAGATCTACTCCTAGATCTTCTGCTTCCCTTTTGATTCNGGCGACGAGCAAGTATCGACAAGATTTGGAGTGGCGTCCTCAGTCCTGGTCTACCTTATCTGTCATCTCTGGTTTCGCATTTTCTTCCAAATCTGCTTTGGTAGATTCGTCGTGCCTAGGTCTTCTTCTGGTGGTCTCGATTCCTCTGTTAGGTTCATCCGTTCGGGGATGATGGTAGTTGCTGTGGAGAGTTATTTATGTCCTCACCTTGAAGCCTACTGTTGTCCACTAGATTTTGTGGTTCAATGCGATTTCTAGTGGTGGTGAATCGGCTTGCCTCGGCGTAATGGTGGTGGTTATCTTGTTCACTGCTACAGGAGCCTCGATTGCATTGTTCCTCTCCTCTTGGATTTGACGCAGGTCTGAGATTTCTTGGGGTTTCGGCCTTCTACACATGATGAAACGGCATGATGATTAGTTCACTGCTAGGTTGGTTTTCTCGCTGTGGACAGTAGTTTGATCCCTGAGGTACGTGGTCTATGTGGTGTCTCGGGTATGAAATTTCGTCTTGGTTGATTGCTGGAATCGCTTATGGTCCTATCGCTGATGTCGCCTCGTTTTGGTTATGCTTCCAATGGAAGTAGTCTTGCTTTATCGTTTGGTTCCTTCGTTGTTTTCTAGTTTTGATGGTTTGTGACATGCCTTGATGTTTCTTGTGTCTTGCTATAGATGATGTTGTGTTGTGATCGTCTCTTTTGGCTTAGTGTATGGGTTTGTTGCTTTGGTTCTGACATTAGAGGAGCTAGTATGACTAATAGTTTTTGGCGTAGTTTCTAATCGTTAAATTTGGCTCAGGACTACCTCAGGATGAACTTGGTAGGGTGAGCTCCCGCTGATTTCTAATATTGGTTTTGAGGTTTCGTCTTTGTCTTAGCTTATGGATGTGTGCAACGAGCCACTCTCACTAGACGCGAGAGGAGTTGGTGATCGAGGGTTGTGTTTGTACTTTCCGTTGACGACTCATTTTCGGGCTTCTCTTGAAAGGCTTCTATTGCTAAGATCTTAGTAAGTATGGCTTGTGTGGTTGGCTTTGAAAGCTTCATATCTGACAGTTGAAACGGGAAAAATAATGAACATCGTCATCACTTCGTATTGCTCCTTAAACTATATGTTTAAGTCGAGCTACTGAAAATTTGTATGCATATGCTTCCACGTTTTTTTTTATCTTATTTGTCGTGGAACCATTCCATAGGGCTATAATTTCGATTGTAATCTTAAACCGATTCATACTTATGAAATATTTACTATTTACCAAAAAAAATCAAAAACAAATTATCTGAAAACTTATCCAAACCAGAGTTATTCTGTCGAAACCGAATAAAACAAAACCGATCGAACCAACATGTTTGGTTTTTGATTTCTATTCGGTTTTAATCTCTAAATCGATCAACACTTTATTTTATATTAGTTCGGTTTTTAGTTCTTTCAGTTGATCAGTTTTTCGATTTAATTTTTAGTGATTTAGTTTTTTTTAATCGGTTTTAAACAAAATAACTGAGAAACTAAACTTTGAAATAACCAAAATACACAAATTTAACCTAATTTTTTTTAGCCAAAATTCAATCTTAAAAGATAAATCAAACTGTCTCAAAACCAGATCAAATTAACCGATTACCAAACTGATCCAAAATTTTGTTCGATTTCTTTTGGCAAAATATTACAGAACCCAAA